TAATCTAAACTCAAGTGGTTTTGTCGTGTGTGTGTGTGTGTTTCTTCTTAATTACTATAAATTCTATTGCAATAGGTTGTTATCATATCGTTTAAGCCATTATCTTTTTTTCTTCACTGATTTGCTATACTCTGCCCTCTATTTCCCCTGACTCCCCTCCAGTCCCTAGGAGAGTAATCTCTTCAAGTAAACATACTGTTAAAAAATCTTTAATTCCAAGCCCTGGCTGGTGTAGCTCAGTGGATTGAGCACGGGCCGTGAATCAAAGGATCACGGTTCGATTCCCAGTCAGGGCGCATGCCTGGGTTGCAGACCAGTTCCCGTCAGGGGATGCATGAGAGACAATCATACATTAATATTTTTCTCCCTCTCTCCTTCCCTTCCCCTCTAAAGATAAATAAATAAAATCTTTAAAAAAAAGATCTTTAATTCCAAGCTTTCTCTTTTTCATGTGACTTCTTGGGATAATATACCTGTCTCCCAACCAGTCGGTTTGCTACTTCATATTTATTCAAGTTTTGGTCTGAATTATTATTTTTCATGCAAAAATTCAAACAAAGGAGGAAAACACAGGACACATGTGATAAAACTTTAGGTAAACCACAAACTTCAAAATATGCCCAAGAAATGCCATAACCACTGCTGAGAGGAAATAGGTGCCAGCAAAGAGAAAGACTGTGGTTGTCCTTCCACAGCTGCTTTTCTCTGATGTGCAGTAAAAAAACTAGTTAGACATCTGCACGCAACTCTGGGCGGAGTGAGCCAAGTGCGTCTAGAATTCAAAGCATAGAATGATGTGTGTCCTATACCAAGAATTAAAAAAAACTTTTATCTCTCTATATTTTCTCTATTGTCAGAATAGAAATATCTTTCCTTAATATCTTTGCTTCAGAGACAATATTTTATAAAGCATTTTATGAAACTAGCAGTAAATATTGAAAACAGAAAAGGACATTAAAAGAAAATAAATACACAGGTCCCTTATTTTTCATGAATATACAAACGAAATCCTCAACTAAACAGGAGCAAATTAAATTTAAAAATGTACAAAAGAAGTATGCAGCATGACCAAGCAGGCTTTATTTCAGGTATAAAGAGCAGGCTCAACTTTAAAAAATCAAGAAATGTAGCCTATTATGTCAACAAGCTTAAGAAGTAGAAGCATATGATCATGTCGACTGGCAGGAAGAAAATGTGACGAAGTTCAACACCCACTGATAAACACTGATGAAACAAATGGGAATTTCCTCAAGGTGATAAAGAATGCCTACAAAACAAAAACTACTGCTAACATATCTGATGATGAGAGATGAGATACTTCCCCTTTTATGATCACTCTCAAGTTTATGCAACATTGTATTGGGTGTTCTAGCTCATGCAAGAAGACAAAACAAAAAACAAAAGGAATACAGATTGGAGAAGAAACAAAACTATTTTTTTCACCAGATGATATGATTGTCTAGTTAGACAACCCTGAAAAATCAAAAGTAAAATGATTGGAAATAAATGTATACAGAAAATTTGCAGGATGCAAGGTTAACATATAAAAATCAATTGCATTTGTATACACCAGCAATAAACAACTAAAATTTAACACTTAAAATACCACTTACAATAGCACAAATAATAAAAGTAGCTGTAAAATTATCAAAATACAGAATCTGATTAAAAAATTATAAAACACTGATAAAATACAAAAAATAAAAAAATTTGACCAGTGGAGAGATATTTTATGTTTATAGATTGAAAAATTCATTATTGCAAGGTGTTAATTCTTTCCAAGTTCATCTATAGACTGCAATCCCAAGCTAACCTTCTCAAACTATTTTGCACGTACCGAAATTGGTTCTAAAACTATAGAAAGTCAAAAGATCAAGAACAGTTTTCTCATGCTGAGGAAGAACAAAGTTGGAGGACTCACTACCTGATTTTAAGACTCACAGTAAGCTAATGTAGTCAAGACAGCATGGTATTGGTGAAGAAATAGACAGATCAATAGAACAAAATGGAGATCTGAAAAGTAGAGCAGTTTTAATACAGTTGACTCATTTTTTAGAAAGACACAAAGGCAATACAGTAGAGAAAGGATATATACTATATATCTATAATCTATCTATATATACCCAGAAATCATGCTGGAATACAGACACACACACACACACACACACACACACACACACACACATATATGTATATATTCTGGAATTTATACATATGTATGCTAGAATATATGGTGCTGAAATCATTGAATGTCTATATGTCAAAAAAGAAAGAAAGAACATTGACATACTTAAGCTTTACACTTTCAACAAAAAGTAATTCAAAAAACAACCATAGAACAAAATGTAAAAGCAAAACTCTAAAACTTCTAGAAAAAGAACAGAAGTATATTTGCATAATCTTGATTTGGTGAAGAATTTTTTAATTCAATACCAAAAGTACTATTGATTAGGTAAAATAAATTAGACTTTATTTAGATTGGAAAATTCTACTCTAATAAAAACACTTTAAAAAGAATAAAAAGACATGGCAAAGACTAGTAAAAAGTATTTGCAAAACACATCTGATAAAAGGACTTGTATTCAAAATATACTAAGAACTCTATACTTAACAGTAAGAAAGCAAACAAGTGAATATAAAATTTGGCAAAAGGTCTTAAAATATACTGCTTCAAAGAAAATATACAGGTGGACATTTAGCACATTGAGCACATTGGTACTCAACATTACCTGTTGTAGGGAAATAAAAATTAAAACGTGGAACTACAACTAGACACCTATCAGAATGCCGAAATCTAAACCGCACCCCCCCAGACTGAGACTACCGATTGCAGGTGGTGTTGGGGAGCAACAGGCTCTCTAACTTGTGGCTGATGGAAATGCAAAATGGTGCAGCTACTTTGAAAGGCAATTCTGCGGTTTCTTACAAAACTAAACATGCTGCACCATATAAGCCAGCAACTACCCTCTCATTTACCTAATTGATTTTAAAACTTCCATGCATGCAAAAGCCTGCACATGAACATTAAGAGTAGAATGATTCATGATTTACCTCAGCTGGAAGCAGCCAAGACGTCCTTCAATGGATGAATGGATGAGAAAACTGTAATATATATATATATATATATATATATATAATGGAAACAGCAGAAAAAGGAATAATCTATAGATCTTAAATGCGTATTTCATAGTGTAAAAAACAGTCTGAAGTTACTATTTTCTTTGTAATTTCATTTACGTGATATCTGGATGAGGCAGAAATGTAGAGAAGATTTGGGAGCAGGGTTGAAAAGTGACGCAAAGTGGATTTTATTAGGGCAGTGAACCTATTCTGTACAATACTGTAATGGCGGATTCATGACATTAAGCTGTGAACTTCAAACTCATAGAGCTTTATGGTAGAAAGACTGAACCTTAATGTATGCTAATAATTTTGGAGGCTATGAGCCCCCAGTGTGGAATAAAAAACTCCCAGAAAAATCTGGACATATAGTAAATGTGTGAAACAGCCTCACCGAAGGGTGTGGGGGTAAAGTTTGCTGATCCTAAGCAATTTCAGAAATGAGAAGTCTTAACTTGTAAGACTAATGACAAAAGGAAGTGTACATAGACACTGTAGATAAGAAAGTAATTCTCTATAAGGTATGATGGGGAAACAATTTTGAGCCAGTAAATATGTATACTGGAAATGAACAGTTAAGTGAATGAGTAGTGATGGTAGTAGATTTGTTTCTCACTCTTGGTGTGGGAGGTCATAGAAATGCAAGGAGGAGGCTAGCATGATCCATGGTGTAATGTACAGGGGTGAGCAAAAGTAGGTTTATGGTTGTTCCTTTGGAAAAAGCCATGCAGGTTAAATTACCATCCATCATTACCTAAAGGATAAATCATACATACTCACAACTGTAAGCCTTCTTTTGCCCATCTGTATATTAGAGTTGGAGAGATTAATATGAACTCATTGATCCAACTGAAGGCATTTCCAATGGCTAAAATTGGAACAACGGGAGCAATATACCGGTAATAAATAAAAGAGTGCTGAATTGTAACTCGAAAAGTAAAATAAATATAAATGAGTTTTTAGTGATATAAATGATTGAATAAATAAATGAGAGAATAGAAATATGCCCTCAAAAGAATTTTAAATAATTATGTAGATACTCTGACTTCAAAGAGTTGGACCATAACTCCTACCTTCTTAAGTGTGGGCTGTACATCTTGGCTTCCTACCAAAGAGTACAATATAGAGATTGGGACAAGAGTAACTTTACAGTTGATAAACTTGATGAACACTACCATAGCCAAGTGACTGAAGTTAACACCAGATAAAGCAGTGACAAGCCATGTGGATAGTATGTACCCTTCCTTCATAAGATGTGATAGAAATGGCAATTTATCTCTGTAGTCTCCATTGAAAACTTATAACCTGTGTAATGATGAGAAAAAGATTAGACTACCCTACCATAATTTGAGAACAATACACAAAATATCTGACCAACACTCCTCAAAAATTTCAAAAATCATCAAAAAATAAGAAAAAAGTAAAAAACTGTCACAGCCAGAATTTTCCTAACAAGACTTGAGGACTATTATGTGAAAAGAATGAAATTTTTGACTAGAAAAAAGCATGAGGTAAAAACTAAGAAAAAGGTATTAGTTAAAAAGTGAATAAGAATTGTATAGATTTTAATAATAAGCTAAGAATGTTGATTTATTACTTTTGACAAATGTATCATACTAATGTAACATAATAATAAGGGTGTTGGGTATGTGGAAACTCTCCATATTATCTTCACAATTTTCCTATAAATCAAAACTATACTAACAAAAAACATTTATTTAGAGAATGAGAGATCCTTCACTCTTTAACCATATCCTTTGTGGTTTTACAGCTAGCTTTAGGGTTTGTGTCAGTGCTACCGTTCTTGCACACAAACGCTGCTTTTGATTAGGTGATGTCGCTCTTTCCATCAAATTCAAATATGGATTATTCTATTTATAGGACGTTTGGACTAGAGGAAAGTACAGAGAGACCCACGGCTCAGAAGCCAAAGAAGCATCCCTGTCATTGCCAACACAAGTGGACGTGCCAAGGTAAGACTCCATAATCTTTCATTAGACCACAGATTATAAAACTAGGATTTTTTATGAGTCTTGGAATTCTAAGTTTTTAATGAGAACTTTTTAAAATTTGAACTAAAGTCTATTTTTCAAAAAATTTGTGTTCTTATTTTGAATAACATGTTTATGCAGATGTCTATGCACCAGGTTATGTGGTTTTCTATCTCTGTAATCCTCACGTCTAGCACAGTTCCTGGCATGTGCTTATATGTTTATAAACACTATTAAACAAAATGTAATTTACTTAACTTGTGTTGAAGGTTGTAAAAGTGTTATAATGATTTGTTTTATTGAAGCAAAGTACATAATTGTAAAGATTAGCCTTTGAGTTTTGTTTCATGTATACAGTACAACTTTTATTTAAAATGTTTGGAAAGATGGTTACAATATTCAATCTTGCTTATGTTTCTCCATTAAACACTCATTTTTACTATTATTCAATTATTTTAGTACGACTTACGTTTTATCTTCTTGGGCTTCAATCCCATGGAATATTATCTGTATAATTTAGTGAAAATGTAAATGAAGGTAAAGTGACAAATTTTAGCTGAAATGTTTTGACTAACCAATTGATCAGTTTATATCGACCCATTTGTTGGATAAATGGTAGTTTTGAAACAGAAGTGTTAACATAAGGAGGACTTTAATTAAATAAAACGCATTGACCCTTACTTTAGAATCAATAAATCTCTTTAATGATAGCTAAGTATATGTTCATGTCAAGGTAATTTAATCAGAGATTGTAGATTTCTTCCCCCATCATCAGGTGATGAACTTACATTTCTATGACACATTTTCAATTTCATTTTAAATACGTAAATATTTCAGAGAGAAAAATTATCATTACAGATTACTCTGAGTGTCCAAAGTGGCATCGGATTGCTCTGAGACTGGTCAGCATTGCACTGGTTATACTCACTGCTGCAGTGATAGGACTAGCTATTTGGGGTAAGTAAGTTAACAGTTATATCCAAGTATAGAGATGAACATATTTTCTTTGGAGTTTACCTTTATTTCTCTAACATTGTCAGATAACTTTTCACATTTGCCTGATGATTTCTTTCATTGTTATTTCAATCACATTGGTAGTGAATGACACAGTTGATGATTTTATCAATAATTAGTAGATTTTCCCCGTAGAAAGGAGGCAATAAACTCATTTATAAAACCTATTCTGCTCATAACTTTAATTATTTGGTAAATAGCATGGGCTTGACAGACACAATTGTATGAAATGAAGTTTTAAATCTTGGTAAAACTGCTTAGTTTTATGAAAGTTGATTGGCCCTTTTAATAAAATCTTTGATTTAAAAAGTGACTACATATTTTGAAGTTTTGACAAAATTTATCAGATTCTTGAAAATTGAAGGCCAAGTACAATTAAAGATTTATTCCTACAAAGATCATTCCTAGAACACCCAGTGCTAGTGATAAAAAAAGACTGTGCATGGGGTTTTACAGCACACCTACTACACAAAGTCACCTACCAAAACTGGGGGTCACAGCAGATCAGCCTGACACATAGAAAAACACACAGAGGCAGCCAAAGTGGGGAGACAAAGAAACATGCCCAAATGAAAGAACCAGAGAAATCCCCAGAAAAAGACCTAAATGGAGGCAAGAAATTTACCAGACATAGAGTTCAAAAGAATGGTTTATAAGGATGCTCAGAGAACTTAGTGAGAACCGAAAGCAGAAGATTGATTCAGTGAATTGGAAAACTAGGTGGGAACAAACACCAATTAGAGCAGCAAAAAGAAAAAAAATTTTATAAAGTGAGAATAGTTTAAGGAATATTTTGGACAACATGAAGTGAACCAACATTCACATCTTAATGGTATCAGAGGGAGAAGATTGCGAAGCAAAGGACTGAGAACCTATTTGAAAAAATAATGACCAAAAACTTCTGTAACCTGATTAAGGATAACACACGAGTTGTGGAAGCACGAAGAGTTCCAAACAAGATGAACTAAAAGAGGCCTACGCAAAGACACATCATAATTAAAACGGTAAAGTTTAAAGACAAAGATAGAATCTCAAAAGCCACAACAGAAAGACAGTTAGTTACCTACAAGGGAACTCTCATAAGATTGTCATCTGATTTCTCAACAGAAACATTCAGACCAGAAGGGACTGACATAAAATATTTGAAGTGATGAAAAGCAAGGATGTACAATTAAGGTATCTTTACCCAGCATGAATATCATTTAAAATTGAAGGACAAGTAAAGAGCTGTCCAGGCCAAAAGAAAAAAAAGCTAAAGGAGTTTGTTATCACCAAACCAGTATTAAAAGCTCTCTTATTAAAGCCAAAAATATTAAAGGCTCTCTTTTAAGAAGAATTAAAAAACATAGAAACATACTTAAAAGAATAAAATTACAATAAATATGTACCTATCAATAATTACTTTAAATGTAAATGGCTTAAATGCTACAACCAAAAGACATAGGGTAGCTAAATGGATAAGAAACAAGGCCTGTCTGTTTACATGCAGTCTACAAGAAACTCACCTCACAATGAAAGATACACACAGATTAAAAGTAAAGAGATGGAAAAAGATATTTCATGCAAATGGAAATGAAAAAATAAAAGGGGAAGTAATTATATCTCACAAAATACACTTTAAAACAAATGTTATAGCAAAGAAGGACACTGCATAATGGTAAAGGGAGCAGTCAACAAGAGGATATAACCCTTGTAAACATGTATGCACCCTGTGTACGAGCACTGAAATATATAAAGCAAATACTGATGGGCATAAAAGGAGAGATTGGCAGTAATACACTCATAGTAGGGGATTTTAACACTCCATTGGCATCAATGGATACATCTTCCAGAAAAAATATCAACAAAGAAAGAATGACCTTAAATGACACACTAGGTCAGATGGATTTAACTGATATCTTCAGAGCATTTCACCTGAAGCAGCACAACATACATTCTTTTCAAGTGCACTTGCAATATTTTCTAGAATAGACCATGTGTTAAGACACAAAACAAATCTCAGTAAATTTAAGAAGATCAAATTAAATTAACCAGCTTCTTTGACCACAATAATATAAATCATTAGAAAGAAAATCATTAGTTAGAAATGAATCACAAGAAAAAAAACTGAAAACCATGCAAAAAATTAAGGCTAACTAACTTGTTTGTAATCAATGAATGGGTTAACAATCATATCAAAGAAGAAATCAAAAGATACCTTGAAAAAAATGAAAATGACAACACAACCACCAAAATCTATGGGACTCAACAAAAGCAGTCCTAAGAAGGAAATACATAACATTTCTATCTTAAGAAATAAGAAATTTCTCAAATAAATGATCTACACTTTAAGGAACTAGAAAAAAACAACAAAGAGAGCTCAAAGTGAGTAGAAGAAAGGAAATAATAAAGATCAGAGAAGAAATAAATGAACTAGAGTCTAAAAAACAATACAAAATACCAATTAAACCAGAGCTAGTTCTCTGAAAAGATCACAAACCATCAGAGAGATGCAAATTAAAACCACAATGAGATACCACTTCACACTGGTTGGGATGTCCATCATAAACAAACCAGCAGACAACAAGTGTTGGAGAGGATGTGGAGAAAAGGGAACCCTAGTGCACTGCTGGTGGGAATGCAGACTGGTGCAGCCACTGTGGAAAACAGTATGGAATTTACTTAAAAAATAAAAATGGAAATGCCTTTTGACCCTGTGATTCTACTGCTGGGATTAAAGCCTAAGATTCCTGAGACACCAATTCCAAAGAATCTATGCGCCCCAATGTTCATAAGAGCATTATTTATAATAGCCAAGTGCTGGAAACAGCCTAAGTGCCCATCAGTAAATGAGTGAATCAAAAAACAGTGGTATATTTACACAATGGAATACTATACAGCAGAAAAGAACAATGAACTTCTACCTTTCATGACAGCATGGATATAACTGGAGAGCATTATCCTAAGTAAAATAAACCAGGCAGTGAAAGACAAATACAATATGATTTCACCTATAAGTGGAACCTAATCAACAAAATAAACAAGCAAGCAAAATATGACCAAAGATAGGAAATAAAGAACACACTGACAGTAACCTGAGGGGAGGGCGATAATGGGGCTTAGAAGAGAAAGGGTCGTCGAGGAACAAGTATAAAAGACCCATGGAAAAAGATAAAATGAGGGTAGGGGAGGATTGAATGTGGAAGGTGAGGGTAGGTAGGGTGGGGGAGAGGAATGGGGGAAGTGAGGACAGCTGTAATTGCACAACAATAAAAATAATAAAATAATAGTGTCTAATATATTAAAATAAAATAAAATGATATTACAATAAGATATCACCTCACAAAGAACAGATGTTGGTGAGGATGTGGAGAAAAGGGAAGCTTCAAGCACCGTTGGTTGGAATGCAGATTGGTGTAGGCCCTGGGGGGAAAAGTGTGGAGTTACTTCAAAAAAAATAAAAATAAAACTGTCTTATGACCCAGTGATTCCACTTCTGGAAACATATCCAAAGAAATGCAAACCACTAATTCAAATGAATATATGCACCCATATGTTAATTGCATTGTTACTTACAACAGCCAAGATTCGGAAGCAGTCCAAATGCCTATCAGTGAATGAACGGATGAAAAAGCTGTAGTACACTCACACAATGGAATACTACTGGCTGTGAAAAAAAAAGGAAATTTTACCTTTTGTGACAGCATGAATGGACCTGGAGAGCATCATGCTAAGTGAAATAAGCTAGTCATATATAGTAAAAGAGAAATACCATGCAATCTCACTTATATGTAGAATCTAAAGAACAAAGCAAACTAACAAACTAAATAGAAACATCCTCATAGATACAGAGAACAGACTGAAAGCTGTCAGAAGGGAGTGGATAGCAGGGCTGTGTAAAGAAGATGAAGGGAATTGAGCAACAGTATGGTGATTATCAGAAGGAAAGGGAAGTGGGAGAGGTAGAAGAGGGTAAAGGGGGGATAAATGGTGGTGGAAGGAGGCTTGATTTGGGATGGTGGACACAGTACAATATACAGATGGAGTATTATAGAATTGTACATCTGAAACCTATATAATTTTATTAGCCAATGTTACTGCAACAAATTCGATAAAAAGTACTATTTCTAAAATGAACTCTAGTTTAATAAGCCCTATGGGTAATTATGTCTGTTACTGATTCTATGTGTTGTGAGCTTCTACATGTTAGGATATAAGAAAAATACTTTATACACATTACCGTTTAGCCTTAGAACAACTGTAAGAGTGTTAAGCATTACCCCCTCTCATATATGACAAAACTGGAAACAGAGAGCCTTCATAACTAGTCCAAAACCACAAAGAATTCTAACCTATACTAATAAACAGATGCAATATTAAATATACTTTAATTTTACTTAGATGATTTGTTTCTAATTACTCTTTTGCAAGTGAAAGTCTATTTCTAAATTATCTGTGCTTTGTCAAATTAGAAGGTTGAAATGTTAGTAAACAGGCTTCCCTTCAACTACCAGGGTGCATTCACTTGCAATTTCATTTTAATAGATAATTAAAAGGCAGAGTCTTATAATTGTAGAAATCTAATTAGCGTTACTCCTTCTCTTTATTCTTAGTGAATCAGCTACGCATCCATTCCTTCAGTGATAACCACTGCATGGAGGTGTTTGATAGTGATAATGAAACCAGAGCTTGCGATTGTATGAATATTTTTCCCAGAAAGCAGCCCAGAGATACAAACTCCCGGAGTAAGTGATTTTATATCGTTCTACTGTAGTGGAGCAAAAACTTTCCTTCTACCCTTTAAAGTTTAGTACTTGGGGGATTATGAAGTAAACTGACAGAAAAACAATTAACAGGAGAAAAACATTTATTTACATACATACCAGAACTCACAAAAGAAGTAGTTGGTTCAACATTCTTGAAGTTAAAGGCTAATATGCCTAACTTAGTTTAGGTAAGAGATGACTTCCATGGGGAAATCTTTTTTTTTTTTAAGTGAAGTGTTATATTTTAGAACAAAGTAGAGAAAGAAAACTTATGATACTGTCTGTTCATGCAGGTGAAAGTAGTCATTCCATTTCCTTCATGAACATAATATTCCCCTCACAGGGGGACTTATGGTGGGTTTCCTCTCAGTATTTTTCCTGGGAATAAATCACCCCAGAGACAAAATTTATGGCAGCCTAATTTCTCAGAATTTTCTGCATTTAGTCAAGTAAAAGTAGCTCTAAAGAGCACTTCCTGAATCTCAAATATCTTCAGCTTAAAATAATGCATATATGAAAATGAAATATTTTTGTCTGATGTATTCAGACCCCTGTCAGTATTTTGAAGATGATTTTCTTACTTCACTTCTTCACCCCCAATCCTGCTTCTTGTTAATCTGTTCGAGTTCACTGCTTAGACTATGCTTACTGCTGATTTGCCTACGTACCACCGATAAAACTCTTCTCAAAGGCCTCTGTCTTCAAGAGCCAATTGGCTGCTACTTCAAGTTTTGTAATCCCCTTGCTAGATAACAAACCTATCACTGGCTATCTCTTTCCATTTTTCAAAATTTTATTTATTTATTTGACTTTATATACTTATTAGGCATATATAAAATACTTGGTTTACTGACAAGACAGCAAGAAATTTAGAAAAATTTTCTGCCTTTAAGAATCTCATGATCAGTGTGTGAGATTGTAAAGACAGAGTCAAATTGCACTGCCATAGGCAGTTTAAACTAATGAAATCTTTCCTAGCAGAAGAGTAGCTTCCTACATGAGGCATTAGGATCTCTAAAGGCAAGGTATGCTTTAATGATGATATGATAATAATTACCTGATGACATTTAATGAGTGTAGAGTCATTCCCGGAATATGTATTTGATGAAAATTAATCTAGATAACATCATATTAAATCAAACTCACAAATACATTGAGGGTTAGAAGGTAATAGCTGCATGAAAATTTAAAATGAAATCAGTTTTTTAGAAAATCGTGCTAGGGACTTAAGGGATAAATTCATTGTCCTTTATCCTTGGAGATGATTTGGTGGGAAACTGCGAGGTGCTTTGGCTTACAGTCGTTTTGTTGGTGTGATGGTCCTCTACTCTGCTACTCAAAGATATACTAGTGTTTTAAACTTATTTTTATCCATTAGATGCCACTTCTATATGATAGTGATTACTGCTTTTGTACTTATTTTTTGTTTTAATATGTGATAAAGATGTTAATTAAGTTTTAAAATTATAATGTGAAAAGATCAAGTTGTAATGCATTTGGGGATCACTATGTCTCAAAGGAAGGGGTTTTTAGTTTACTGACGTTCTGTAGATCTCAATTCACTCCGTGCTACAGCCATCAGCATTTTCCTAAAATGCAGAGCAGCAGCCAGGGCATTCTTGTAGTCAGAACTCTGCAGTGATTTTCTATAACCCTTAGAATAAAGTCTAAGCACTTTGACATATTCTACAATGTCCTCTGAGTCTTGATGTCCTACAATAGTGGTCTAATTTTTCACAACACAAAGCTCTCCATTGTCTTAGTCTCCAAAACAAACCTCTATGAAGTAATATGAGGCAGTATACTCTCTCAACTTCAAGTCATTAATCATGCCGATCAAGTCCATCTCTTTTGAATATTTATTTCTCCATTTCATCTTCTTACCCTCTGAACCCTTCTAACATACACATGTACACATATAGTTCAGAATGGACATGCTAATAAAATATGATAAAATCATAGTTGATGTTTTATATTTCTTACATAGTAGGGAAGTTAAATGTAAAAACATATATTGGATATTTGTGGTTTTTACTCTGTAAACTGCCTGCTTGCCATCTTTGCCTCCCTTTAAAAAAATTTTTAAGGTGCTCATTTTTTTTATTTATAAGTGTTTATTGTAGAATAAAAGTTAACATTTTCTCACAATTTACAATTAACCTTGAAGTAAAAAACCCACCATAAACCATGCTCTTTAGCACAGGTTAAATACAAAGGATTATACTAAAATATATTTCTGGTCCTTATGTTAAATTTGGATATTTAATAAATGCATTCTCATTAAATATTGAAGGCCATAGAATGCAATATGAAAATATAACTGATGTTTATGTTTTTGATTGCATTTTTCCCTTAAGACTTAATTCTTCAACTCTTCAGTAGGTCAACAAAGGGCTTTCTTATTCTGGTTATTCCCCTATTCCTCCCCATACATTATTCTTCTAGGCTTCCCTCAACACTGGGGGGCCTCCTTTTGATGGGAGTCCCAGTGCTATGGTGTGCAAAAATTATCTGTTGACCATTTTCATCATCTTACATTTGGCATATCAATAATAGTCCCCTATACTCTAAATAAATACAGTTTTCAATAGATTAATTTCTTTTTCTTTTTACTGTAATGACAGAAACCTAGGCTTCTTTATTGCTGTGAGTATGAGACTTTTAGGCAAATGAAAAGAAGAATGGGATGAATAATTCATGTTTTATTGTAGACACAAAATGCTACCATTGCCTAAACCTCTGAATAAGCATGAGAGCTCAGTCATTTATTTCCATCAATAATTTATGATACTGAAATTCAGCAAAAGTAAAGTTTTTCTCCAGCTTTGGTCTCACGTGTATTGTTGGATATTTTTCCAGGTAAACGTAGATAAAGCCTAGTTTATTAACACACTATTTCAATAACCACTTTTCACTATTACTTATAAAATAAAATTCCCTGTAAAGAGGATTGTAAAGAATTAGGATACTTCGATGATTTAAAACAGAAACTCAAAATGTAATATTTTCTTAAAGTAATCTAATTTCTCATACTGTCTCATAAAGAGCTCCCACAGTCTCTAGTGGGAAAAGCTAACTTAAAAAAATTTTTATTTAGTTATCATAAACAAAACAACAAATAACAAATGTTGAGGTTGTGGGGAAAAGGGGTCCTTAGTTCACTGTTGGTGGGATTGCAGACTGGTACAGCCATCATGGAAAACAGTATGGAGTTTTCTCAGAAAAATAAAAATCGACCTGCCTTTTGATCCAGCAATTTCACTGCTAGGAATCCTAAAACATCAATATCAAAGAACCTATGCACCACAATGTTCATAGCAGCACAATTTACAATAGCCAAGAGTTGGAAGCAACCTAGGTGCCCATCAGTAAATGAATGGATCAAAAAATTGTGGTACATATACACAATGAAAAGCTAACTTTTACATAAAGTATCTTGTGGCATGTATTTTCATGTTCATCTCATTTAATATAAGCATGTCAGATAAGTTTTTATACAAATTTTTATTTTCAAAATGATAAGCAATATTTATTGCATATAAACATTTTAATAAAATACAGTCAATATTTAGGTACCTCCTATTTAGTTTAAAATATAAAAAGAATCATTAGTTCAGTTGAAACCTATGGGTACTTGTTTCTGATACAGGTTTATTTAATTATTTCAAGTTTTTCCTTTATACAGAGATAAGTCTGTCATTGAGGCATGTGGACACTGTGGTCATGTTGAAGAATTTGTTTTACAAAGTTGCTAACACCTGTGTTAGAAAATACATTCTTTTGCAGTAAAAAATACTCTAAAAATGACTGTTTTTTCACAGCGGTTTGCTTCTGATGCCATTCAAGCTCTTTGTTTTATTTTAAATTTCCCTATTATTAGTTACATGACTTATAGTAAATCACTTAACCTTTAGTTTCTTAGTTTATACTTAAGCTTTACCTTAGTATCTTTATTTACAAATGAGGAACATACAGTTAATAATTTCACAGATTTCCTAAGTTTCTTAGAAGAAAAAAATTTATATATTCATGCGCACTAAATTATTTGACATGTAGTAATTACTCAGTAAATAATAACAATAATTACTTACTGCATTTATCTCTTCTATAAGTGGAGGGGGAGTTTCTTAAAGGTGGGATAAAATATTTACTTTAAAGAAAATAGTTTACAAAATTAGTGCAAAAATTGTTTTGATTTTTGTTTTTTTGATGTTCAAACCTCGTTCTCATTCCTACTTCTATACATATTGTCATTTCAGGAAACCCTACACTAAACTTGTGCCCTAATGGTTGGGTGCAGGAAAAAGGGAAACGTTACAACTTTTTTTACACTTTTAAATCATGGATCAATAGCCAAAAATCCTGTTTAAAAATGAAATCACATCTTTTGATGATCCAAGACAAAGCTGAACTGGTAAGAGCTAATTTTTAGCCCTTTCAAAACTGGGAGAAATGGGTATATTTTATAATCCAAGAATTATAGTACTAATGATTATTGCCACTTATTGAATTCCTGCTGTATGTCAGGAACTATGGTAAGCATATTATAAACATTATATAACTTAGTGGTTATAATAACCTTATGACATGAGTGATGTTTTCCCCATTTTCATAAGAAGAATCTGCAGAACTTGACAGGTTGCACAAACTTGTCTGCGTCATTAAGTAAATGGCAGAACTAGGTTATACATGGCATCTTTTCATGTTATCTCTTAGAAAGATAGGAGCTCTCTCAGGTACTCACCAAAAGCATACGGATATTCAGAAATGTCCTTAATGTCTTGGGCAGGAAATGTAGGGTTCTTTCACTTCATTTGTACAACGTTTTGCCATAGGCATCAATTTTCTATAAGATTGCACATTGGTAGACAAAGCAATCCATGTATATAGTCATTGCTGCTTTAGACAGGCTTATTCCTTCCTTGTTTTTGCTTTACATCTTCTTTGTGGCCTTCTTAAGATTTTCCTAATTAGGGAGATAAATATCAAAACCTTTTAAAGTCCGGAAAAGACCAAAGGGTCTATTTTAGTATATATAACTCAGTTAAGTTCCTCTGGAACCCCTTTTACAGGATTTCATACAAAACAGTATACAGGATGGAATCTACTTTTGGATTGGATTAAACATTACACATCCACAAAAGACGTGGACCTGGATGGATGGAACCCCATTAAACCCACAATTGTGAGTGTCTGACCTTTGAGTTTCATTGGGAAATATAAAATCTCAGCAACCAATTGTTAGTGGGAGCCTCCTGAAACTCTAGATAGGTGATTGGTCCACATTGTAGACGTTGATCTTTGTTAATGTGTGTAGGAAATTTTCCTTAGAATAATGAAGGCTCCTAAGTTAATTTATTTTTATATTTGGATTTTTTTAGTCTACCTATAATATTTGAGGTATAAATAGAAAATCATAGTCAATAAAAATTTTCTAAACTTAAATTCTTACAAAATATTTCTTAAATTTCATAAAATAATCTTTATTTTGATTAATAGGATTCTAATAATTAAGAAATAATACAAAATAACCTCCATGCAAACTTGCTTAGAATTATTAATTTGTAATCTAGTTTTTAAAATTAAGAATATTTAAGTTTTTTAGATCCCTTGTGTTTTATTTGTTTAAGACACACAAAATGTCAGTTTAAACATCATGGAAAATCAGAATTAAAACAGGAATTTTCCTTTATATTAAGGATGAAGGATTTGTGTATATCTGTATGTATACATATAAACAGATATTCTCTTGTTGAGGTGTCTATGTGAGTTTAAAAACTTAGAAGAGGAGAGGTTTTCTCCCATATTCTTCACTCTCTTTCCCCCAAGAAAAGCTTGGGGTTACTGTCACCAGCTTTTAGCATGTGAAATCTAGATGTGCTAAAGAAGATTCTTTCTCAGGATCTCTTGTAGACACAAGGAGACTCATTATACACAAATAGTGAGGGAAGTTTTCTGGAATGTATGACATTTGGGAATTAGGTCTGGATAATAAAAATGTCAATAGTTTGATATATTCTATAGAAAACTGGTTTAATATATTTGGAAACGATGTATACTTTTAGATGTGTTATATTTCTATATCTTAAAATAATAAATATGATATTGTATGCTATAGAGTTGATTATCATTAAATTGTTGCAGATATTCAAAAAGCTTGAATCAGGAAATTTGGGAGTAACAAAATAAATTTTTCTTCAAAAATGGCAGGATCGGCCTCAGGAATGTTTGGGCTGGTTTACCATAGAATGGGTGACTTTAAAGAATAGAATGATTTTTATTGATGTTTGAATACAGTTGTCTCCATTTTCCCACCACCACTTTCCCCCGCCCTACCCACGCCCATCTCCCACCCTCAATCCCACTTCCTCTTGGCTCTGTCCACGGGTCCCTCATACATGCTCATTTACTTCCCTTTCCCTTTTTTCCTATGTTATTTCCCTCTCCCCTCCCCTCTAGTTACTATCAGTTGTTGTTGACTTCAATGTCTCTGGCTATATTTTGCTTGCCAGTTTGTTTTTAAACAATAGAAATTGATTTCTCACAGTTATAGCGAGGAGGATAGCAAGGTTGAGGTACCACCAAGGTCATGTTTCGATGAAGGCCCTCTTCCTGGCTTGTAGCTGGAGTCTTCTCCCCAGATATTCAGTAGTGGAAGGGCCTAAGAATCTCTCCATAGTCTCTCTGATAAGGAGCAAATTCTATTCATGAGGGGTCCACCCTCATGACCTAATCACCCCCAAAGCCCCATTTCCTGATACCATCACATTGGGTATTAGGATTTTAAAATATAAATTTGGGGGGAGGAACACATACATTTAAACCATAGCACACAGCTTGAGAAACAGAACTTTGAATTCATTTTATGTATGATAAAGTGAAGAGTCTTCCTCCAAATTTTACAAAATATATTGGCATAGTCATTATGGCCAGTGTGTATCCTCTTAAAGGCCCTACTTTCCTAATACCATTGTTTTTAGGGGTTAAAACAGTTAGACCATAGCGGTCCTTTAAGATCTTTATTTTTATATAATTACATGGCATTGGGAAACCAGTGTTTCTTATTCACATTTTTATTCCATGCAGTATTTCTAGTTACAAATGACCATTTTTGGTTAAAATGTCTTCATTAAATAAACGATTGTTTAATGTACATTCTTTGTCTGAATATTACACTGCCTTAGATTTCCAGGTTGGAGAGTAGCACATTCTTTCTAAGAAGAGAGAAAATGCATACAATATTCATCTTTGTGTTTTCAGCAGTGTGAAGACAGTGTCTCCTCTTCCTCTACAGATTTCAAGTCACAGGCAAGGCTGGAGACAGTGCCTGCGCTGCGATAACAAAGAAGGGTGTTTTTTCTGAAAAATGTCACAGTCAAGGTTATTGGATTTGTCAAGATGTGATTTCTTCAGATGATGACCTCTAAATTGATCCAGGTATTTCTCCCATTAACAAAAATTTCACAAATATTCCTTATGCATTTATGTAGAAACCCTTCATTTCTACAATAAATATATGCTAATTCTGATGACAGTGCTGTAGATTTGTGTCACTATAAATCTAGGCAGTCATCCTCAGTTGATTCACATTATATTTTGATAGTCATCTCTCATTTATAACAGTAGCTATATCAGAGAGAAACTATCCTTCTACTCAATAATTCTCTCCTTAAGACTCTCAATCACCATTAACAGAGGAGCTTTTTTATGTTTTTTTTTAAAGAGAAGACATTAGATGATATATCCCTATACTTTATACCATTGAGTTTACACATTTGTCTACATCTTACTACTTTTTCCTCTTCTTATATCTCCAAAAAAAGTGGTATCCCTCTTTCTGTCTAAATAAAATTTCCAAGTCTGTAGCCAGGGTTACATCTCTTAATTATTCTAGGAAATCCCTTCCTTGATTATCTGCTCTCTTACCCCTCTCTTCTTATACTTCCTTTTATATCAGCAACTAAACATTCAAGAGCAACAAGAAAATTTTCCCTCAACCACATGTGGCTTCTAGTTTCTGTCCATTTTTTTCACACCTTGGGGAAAACATCAGCACTATTGGTGTTCCCCTTTTCCTGTTTCTATCTAAGACTTCAAGTTTTTTTTTTAATTGTTGTTCAAGTACAGTTTTCTGCCTTTCCCCCCACCCCTCCACACCACCCCAGCCCTCCCTGCCTCCTTCCCTGCCTCCCTCCCCCATTTCCACCCCCTCTTGTTGTTGTCCATATGTCCTTTATCATTGTTCCTGTAATTCCTTCACCTTTTCCCCCATTATCGCCTCCTCTCTCCCCTCTGATAACTGTCAGCTTGTTCTTAATTTCAATGTCTTTTGGCAGTGTCTTTGCCCATCAGTAAATTAATGGATCAAAAAACTATGGTACATGTACACAATGGAACTCTATGCAGCAGAAAGAAAAAAGGAGCTCCTTCCCTTTGTGACAGCATGGATGGAACTGGAAAGCATTATGCTGAGTGAAATAAGCCAGGAGATAAAAGACAAATACCATATGATCTCACTATTAACAGGAATCTAATCAACAAAATGAATGAGCAAGCAAAATATAGCTAAGACTTCAAATTTGTAAAATTTGCCTCCTGCTTTTCCTGCAATTTCACTAAAGTGTTCTCACATTGTCACCAATGACTTTCTTCTGGCTAATTACAAGAAGAACATTTTAGCGTTCATTTTAACTATCAACTTTGCTCATCACTGACCTATCCTTTCTTCTAGAAATATTTTCTAACTTCAGTATCTGTGACATGAAATGTTCTTGAACTGCTATCTACTTCTCCAGACATTCCTCCTTACTCTTTTCTGCAGTGCCTCTTTCCTCTTCTGATCTCTTAAACATTGTTGTTTTTCAGAGTTCTGTGTGGGTTCTCTCTCATACAAAATTCTTGGCTAAACTTGTCCACTCTATAATTTTAATTGCCACTGATTTACTGGTAAGTCCCAAACACTTATTTCTAGCCTAAACCTTATTACAGTGGATTGCCCATTGGGCATCTCTATTTGGACAGCTTAAGGCTCCTCAATCTTCACATGTTAAAAATTAAACTCACTAACTTAATGACAGAAACATGTCTATACTAGTCTAAGCCAGAGTCCTTGGAGTCAACCATGACTTCTACCTTTTCACTCTCAGTATTCAAACACTAATTTAAGTCCTGTCAATATTACTACATAAATATTTCTGAAATTCATTTATATATCTTCATACCTACCCTATCATCTGGATTACTGAGTCAATCTTTTTGTTTGCTTCTAGTTTTGTCTGCCAAAATCAGTTATTGATATTGTGTGTGACATAGTGACTCTCTAAACCTCATATCGGACCACAATGCTCACTACCTAATTGCTTTCAATGACATGTCATTGCTTAAATCTTTTTCCAACTCCTACCAGACCCTTTGGTTCCTCTTCATTTCTTCCTTATTTCCATGTGTATAAGCATGCAGACATACTAATTTTTGTTCAGTTCCTCAAATGCATGATGCTGTCTCAGGACGCTAATCTAATCACATATTGTTTGACTCAGTGTAACAAATATTTTTTTTCTGTGTTACTCACCTTTTTAAATTCTTACTTATTTTTCAGGTGACCTAGTTAAATGTCATTTGGAGGAATATACTTTTTGGACCATTCTCCACTCCAGACAAAATTTGGTAAATATTTTCATAGCTCCCTGTACTTATCTAATCTTAACATTGATCAATAGTACCCTCTTTTTTTGGCCATTGTTTCCCTAACTGATTTTAAATGCACTGTAAGCTATGCAAGATCAATAATCATTATTATTGTTTAGAACAATGACGTATAATGGATGATAAATAAATACCTTTTACGTTAATATATATTTGTAACATGTCCTATGAACTTCCCAGCCCAAGTTTTACTAGTTTTGCAGATCTTTTCCCAGTGTAGACAAGCATAACTTGTATATAGAGAAATAAATCACTCTATTTTCTTAAATAAAGGTCAGTGTTAGGTTTATATGCATAAATAAACAAAATTTTTCTTGTTTGCTGTTGGTTTTTGTTTTTAACCTAGAACCTACATTGAGACTTGGAGTAGAGACATGACTACATTAATATTTGTTAATAAAATATAAGTTTATCAATGGGACACCTATTTTAAAGTCCTAGATCCACTAAGAGTAAAACTTAAGGATATACCTGAATTTTAAAAATATATTTATTTCAAATACTTTTGTTTGAACAGAAGTAATTATAGTTTATAAGAAATAAAATAGAAAACCTTCAACTCAAAAAAATTAAACACAGGAACATGAAACCATGTTTATTTAGTATATGTCCTGTTTTTTTGAGTTTTCAATATTTGCCTTTTTTTTGAATTTTAAAATATATTTTATTAATTATGCCATTACAATTGTTCTATTTCACCCCTTCATTCCCCTCCACCCTGCACACCCCCTCCCCCACCATTCCCCCCCTTTAGTTCATGACCACGTGTCTCAAGTTCTTTAGATTCTATATTTCCCGTACTATTCTTGCCCTCCCCCTATCTATTTTCTACCTACCATCTATGCTACTTATTTTCTGTACCTTCTCTAATATGAACACTTAAGCAATGTGGAAAAATGATTGGAGAGCAGTTACAATTGAAGGGGGGAGAGGAATTAATGGAAGATTAAGAGATCTCTAATATTCAAAGCCAAGTTATCAATGTTCTTTGAAACACTGTGTGTAGAAGAGACTGTGAGCTGTCAGAGGGAAGGGAAGTTGGGGCGCTGGGTGAAAAAAGTAAAAGGATTAAGCCAAGAAATATTTTTATGATACATAGACCCAGACAATAGTATGATGACAGCCAGAGGCAAAGTGGGGCGAGGGGAGGTGGAGGTGGGCAAAGTGGGAGATCAATGGGGTTGGAAAGACTTTAGTTTGGGCAATGAGCACACGATGTTGTGTGCAGATGATGTTTTATTGAGTTGTACCCTTGAAACTTGTACGGTTTTGTTAGCTATCCAGTGTTACCTCAATAAATTCGATAAAAAGTATTTTAATAATTAAATATTAAAACATTTAAAGACAATTTAAACAATATGGCTGCATTTCTTTCTCTTTTTGTTTTATTTGAGGATTATTCATAAAATAACAACTCACATTAAATTCTAAAAATTGAATAGCAATAGAGAAATGTTTTACTTGTGAACTTCTGATGTGAGAATTCTAGAAACTACTGTGAATTTAATTAATCATGACTAAAAGTCCTAATACAAATCAAAGCTTGCCTTATTATTTCCATTATATATCTATGTGTGTATTTTTGAAAGATTAGAGTACCTGAATCTTAACAACTAAAGTTATTTTTAGATTATCTAGTCCTCCAAATTAATAATATTTTTTGACTACAGAGTGATTCTAGACGTTGGGAGGGAATCAGATTAAATAATGTAAATTAAGAGATTCTTAGTGGAAAAAGCTTCAGGAATAAATGGGGCAATGATAATTTATGGCACTTGAAAGTTTTTATCTTTAGACTTCTTTTGGAATGTGTGTGTTTATGTGTTTGTGTGCTTGTTTGCAATTGGGGAAAATTATGGTTTCACTAGGTAAGGGCTTCAATGAGGCTACTTCCAACTTCCCACTCAGACCCCTACTATAGATGAGTGTTACATCTTCTCCTCTACCCCCGCTCCCGAAAGGAAAAACAGCTCAGATTCCTTTGCTCCTAAAGATCTGACATTAGGTAGATTTGAAGTGTAACAATAGGAAAAGAAAAGAACAAGTTGCAGCTGCACACTTGCCACTCTCTATTCGTTTCTCACTGATGTTATGTTAACACAGTCAGGTGCACCTATTCAGTGATGCCCTTCATAGTGATGGTTTGTTCATTTCAAGAGTAGCCAGTTTAGTGGGGTGAACATCTTTGAACACCCATAGCTAAGGAATTTGAAGTTTCATACTACTTTTCTTGCTTACTTTTTTAAAACAGGAAGTTACTTCATTTGTTTGTTTTGAACATAGGAAGTTTTAATGTTGATTTTCTTAGAAATATTACGTAACAATTTCTGAAACCAATTTAACACATAAATTGCTGCGTAAGTTCCGTTGACTAAAAAGAAGTTGTAATACATCTTTCCAGTACCTTTTAAAATAATAGTTTTTAAAATTAAATTAAAAATCATAGACATTAACTTCATAAACAGAAATTTCATTCAGGGATATATACTTTGCTGAAAATAATTTACAAAAATCCTGTTTGGTACTAGTAACTTTTATGTGTTCAAACACTTCGTTACTTGTTTTACATTGACTACTAAAGTATACATACAGTTCTAAACACAGTTTGCTCATCATATTTAGACAGGTATTAATTTAACATCATGTCATTAATAACATGCATTTGATAGCAAAACTATGTTTCATATTTAAAAGACTATTGTGCTGAATCTAGTGTGTGAAATACCCGAAGCCTCCTTGAAATACTATAATACAGTACCATGTACCAGGGGAGAATGTGATTTAGTTTGCATTGAAATTAATTTATGGATTAATATTTTTGTTATTATGAGAAATAGCATTTGTACAATGATTAGGTGTTGGTCTAAGATTTGGTATGAGTTCCAGATTAAAGTTAAGTTTGCAGTAGAGTTAGTGAGTACCCTTGAATTTACTGTGTGGTATGAGGTTAAAATCAACAAAACAAATGAGCAAAATAGAACCAGAGACATGAAAATAAAGAACACACTGACAGTGATCAGAGTGGGCGGAGTGGGGTACGGGGCCAAAGAAGGGGAAGAGGCAAGTCAGGAACATGAATAGAAGACTCCTGGGCATGGGCAGCGGGGCAGGGATTGACTGTAGCAGAGCAGGGAACAGCAACAGGGAAAAGAGTGGGGCAACTATAACTGAACAACTATAATAAAATAGGTAGAGAAAAATACAGAATATGGTGTTAACTATAAAAGAAAGGATACTGTGCTAAACATAGTGTGTGAAATGCTGGTAGCTTTTCAAAAATATTATTATAGTGCCATTTACTGGGGCTATGTGGTGGCAAACATAGTTGGCAAATGGCTCTTTTGGACACTATCCATTTCACCTGGCTGGTGTGGCTCAGTGGACAGAGTGCCAGCCTGTGAAGCGAGGGGTCGTTGGTTCCATTCCTAGTCAGGGCACACGCCTGGGTTGCAGGCCAGTTCCCCAGAATAGGGGGTGTGCTAGAGATCACCACACATTAATGTTCCTTCTCTTTTTCCCTTCCTTCCCCTCTAAACATAAATAAACAAAATCTTTAAACTACAAATCATTAAAAAAAATTAAAAAATTTATTCCAAACAAGCACAAACTGAATAAACAGTCTTGAACTCCATTTGCAAGTGAGTGCTTAAGAATCTTAATGCTTAACCTTTTTTAACTTCTTTACTATTTTGCGGGCTCCCTTTCTACCATTATCATTATTTTTCCACCAAATGTCTTCATTAATTCCCCCCAAATAGTTTGATTAATTTCCAAAAAATAAAAACAAACAGTTGTGTTTATTTTAATAGTGAAAATGCATGTTGAATATGGCAGCTCAAGGGTGGTAAGCCTGAGATACATGTTAGGTGTTGCTTTGGTCCAAAGCAAAAGCAGAACTCCAAAAAGATAAATGAATCAATACATAAACCATTAATGGTAAATTGTTTATAAACATTGAATTATCAACCTGGGAATATATGTCCATAGATATCATATATCAGTTGATTTGCATTCTCACTTCTAAGTAAGCATCTCTTAAGTCAAATGAATTATCATATACTTAGTCTCACAAAATAATAATATTATATTCATGAATATCTTTTTTCTGCATTTATACTCAACGTTTAAAACATTTTAGCTTTTCTACTAATCACTGCAAAAAATAACATGTTACTTTCATATTTCATTTATGCTTAATAATATATATCCATATATATCCAATTATTTGTAAACTTAAGGGCATATATATTGTACTTGAGAGTACAACAAAAATTTTATTCAAGTAGAAAAATGTTTTAACTCTTAAAATGATCTTTCTAGAATTTTAGAGATACGCGCTTCTAGGCATAATTATCCATTAACCCCCAAGAGAGGTATATTTGTAATTTTATTTAAAAACAAAACCAAAATATCAATTCATTTTTAAGGTAACAACTTTATTTTAGTATCGGTTAAGAAACTTGAGGAGAACACTTTAAAATTTATGTCATTAAGTATGAAACAGCATTAGGTACGATAAAAGCAGAGTCATACAAAAGATTCTTGGCATTGTTCTATTAATGAGGGTTAACACAATGAAGATACAATTTTTAAAACTATGCCTCGAAAAAGCAAAAAAAACACTAGTACATTTTTCTACTTGAGTTTGGACACTGTTCAGTATTAGAAGTTTTGCAGATCCAGTATTTCAGAATATTGCAGCATCTCTATCTTCTGAAACATGTGCATTACTCTTTTTTAACTTTATTTTGATTGTTGACACTGTGACAGGTGTCCCCCTTCCCCCTCCCCCTTGGCTTACCTCCATCCATCCTCAGTTCCCCTTCCTCTAGTCACCCCCACACTGTTCTCTGTGTCTATGGGTTATACATATATGACCTCTGGCTAATCCCTTCTTATTTAATGCTTCTCTAAATACACATGAGCTGATTTATTTGTCTGATGTTATGCTATTCTTCTGCCTATAGGCACAGATTTAGCTCCATGATCAAACCTAAAAGTTACCTTAATTTAGACCCCACCTATTTTTTTAATTAGGAAAAAAGTATACCTGTCTATGAAGTATTTTTTTTACTTAATCCCTTCACCTTTTTTACCTAGCCCCCCAAACCTCTCCCCTCTGACAGCTGTCAGTCAATGTTCTCTCATAGACAGGCAACAGTGTGGTGATTACCAGAGGGAAAGGGTGTTAGGGCAGGTAGAAGAGAGCAAAGGGGAGATAAATGGTGATGGAAGGAGACTTGACTTTGGATGGTGAGCACAATACAATATATAAGTGATCTATTATGTAACTGTACACCTGAAGCCTATTACTTTTATTAACCAATGTAACCCCAATAAATTCAATAAAAATGCAAAAAAGGTTTTATGTGAACTACAAAGAAGAAAGTTTATAGATCTTTGCCACTTTGCATGCATCTATTTCACATATCCCCCCCAGACTTGCCCTTCAGTTCCAAAACTGCATAATCTGCTTCCTACTAAGCTTTTCCACCTGGACTTCTACAGACTTCTGAAGCTCAATAATTTAAAAATATCCTTTTGTTTCCATATCAGTTAACAGCACCCCTATTCACTTGATTGATTTACAGGGAAACCTGGGATTTATTCTTAACATCTATTTCTCCTCCATCCCTCTCATCATGTATTTTTCTAAGACTACAACCTTTGAAACAGTCTCTGAATCCATTTATTCCTTTGTATTCTCCCTGCTACCATTTCTGGGCACTGCTCTTATCACCTTTTCTTGCAGCGATTGGACAAATTTTTAAGTTTGTTTTTTGTCCATCAGATAGATTTTATATTGCCCTGAGAGTTATTCTGAATTATATATCTGAAGACATCACTACCTTATATATAAGTATTCAATAACTTTAGAGAAATAACCTAAAGCATCAAGGCTTAACTTCCCTTAGCATGGAGTCTAATTTCTGCAGAATCTGACTCCCTCCCTCCCCCTAATCCAGCTCTTATTCTTTCCCATCATATATCTGTCCTTCTAGTGCTTCCCGACTATTGCAGTTTGTCATTTGTGTAACACTTGGTATCCTCACATGTTTTTCACTCTACTAGCACTGTTCTTCCTGATAATTTTCTCTCTGGAAAAGCTTCAGTTAAAAGATATTTTCCTGTAAAAATTTTGCTGGGCACCTCTTTCTCAAGTTTTGGATGCTTTCTCCATGTGTTGTCATTGAACCTTTTCACATATCATACACACATTTGTTTTTATACTTCTACTTTGCTTGGTAATTACATGTTGAAGATTTATCTATTCAGTCTCTGATTTTCTAAACTAACTGTAGATCTAATGCTCAGTTCCTTGTCACCCTTTTTTATATTCCAGCTTTTGATAA